GCGAGTGCAGAAGAATTTTTTGCATCTTATTCATTTCAAATTCACTTAATATAACTACGAAGAAATGTGTCAAAGGCTAAATATGTCATCACTTTAAGAAAGAAGAGGTATTCATGACCTACTCCTTTTTAAAATTCTCAACTCCTTTGTTGACTGTCCTTATGTCACTTCCAGCATCGGTTTATATGTACCACCTTTTAATACGAGAAACATCCCAACCTTGTATCAACCATAGCACCGCACCAACTAAGGTCAAAATTCCTTTGGGCCCATTCGGGTTTGTAAAAAGGACGGTTCTAGAACGGTTCAAAACGATCGCACAGGTTTTTATTGAAATTTGTGATAGCCGAGTTATTGTCATTTTGTTGAGTGATAAACTGTCCGATGGTTTTGAACCGTTCTAGAACCGTCCTTTTTCCAAACCTGAAAAGGCCTTTGTCTCCAGATCCGTGTCTCGCAAACCAACATCCTCTCCTTGATTTTTTCTGTCCACTTCAACCTTCTATAGAGCATCTGTCACACTTGAACCTTGCTAGATTGTAACTTATCTGTTAACAGTGTAGCCTAGCTTAATTCTTAATTCTTAATTTTTTAAACTTTTTATAAGAATAGTCTACTTACATATACACTCATGTACTTTAGAATATTATTGTTATCCTTTCTTTTTATTTCTTGCATGCACATGTTAGATCAAGTTTGATTTATATAATTTTATCATTTTTAAAAAATGGGACTGCCGCCAATAAATAAATAAATAAATGAATAAACAAGATAATATTTGCAGAAACTTGGATCCAGAATGATACAAATTTGGCCTCAATTCGAATTGCAAATAATATTTCTTATCTTGACTAACAACAAATAAGTAGGACTAAATCTTCAAATTTAAACAAATATGTAGTACGTTAGCAAAAAAATATGTTTGGCGAGGTCTTTCTCTATAAATAAACGCCTTTATCTTTATAACATGTATTCGAGCAACGGCATAAAATCAATTTCAATAAATCATCTGGCTGATTCTCTGACGGAGGTATTCAGATAATCCAGACAAAATACTAACCCGAGGAACAAGGATTTTAATATTTCATGATCCCTGAATTTACCATGCTAACATTTATGAGTTTATTTTGTTATTGTTTGAATATCTCTTGTGTTGTTTTGTTTAATTTCCTTTACGTCATTTTCCACTCCTCTTCCTTTTCATATTTTTATTTCTTCGTTTTCTCAATATTTTCTTCTTTTGCTATTTGGAAATTCTTTTAAATGGTTTTATTCACATCTTTATATTTTGCTGTTTTTCTATTCCTTTGCTGTATTAGTTAGTGTTCTTCTTGTACTCGTTTGGTCTTTCGTATCTGGAATAGCGTTCCCTCTTTGTCTTGTCTTGTTTTTGCACTTCTTTTCTAATGTATCAGTTAATAACATGTTTATTTTATCGATAAGTTTATTTTCTAACGTATCTGGATCCGGTATTTTCTCCTTATTCCTTCCTTGGGTCATTTTTTTCATACCTAACTTCTGATTAGTTTCCATTATCCTTTTTATTTCAAATTGACTATTACTAGCTCGCAGTAACGTCTAAACGATACCAACTCCAGAACTTCCATCTGGTCCTGTCCAATGTTGGCAAAATGTTCCTGGAATTTAATTCAACGTTTTCTCTATAAATCGCTCTCACTTTTTCAAATTCACTTCGTCCTTTTTGTATCCCTTCCCACTTCGCTCATTTTGTAGTTTGTTTAATGTCGACCATCTCACATAGAGTTTATCTTTGTTTCTCAGCTTTTTTAAGTAATTGCTATCTACCTACCCTGTAATTATTTTTCCTAATTGTCCATCATTTTCTGTGTATGTACTACATATCAGGGTGTCCCAGGGAAAACAGTCCACCCCGATTTATTGGATTTGGAATGAAAATCTGGAAAAACGCTCGGACGTCGATTTTTTATTTGAAGGGGAACTATTTTTCAGTTTGTTTCATTCCTGTAGCTCCAACCCCCTAGCTGAGGGGGAACAACCTCCCAAATTTGAATAAGAGATAGGTTTCGTGTCATACCTCTTTTTAAAGGTCTCATCGAGTTCTTTATGGCCCTAGAATTTCGTCTTATTATTTTCAGCTGGAATGAAATAACAGCTTGTCAAAATCTTGGAAATAGACTATTGTTTCAGTAGGAGTAAAAGCGGTAAGATACTTCCCTTAATAAAAATACTTACAATTTATTTTGACAAGTTGTCATTTAATTACAGCTGAAAATAATGAGACGAAATTCTAGGGACATAAAGAACTCGATGAGACCTTTAAAAAAAAGTTTGACACGACCTCTATCCCCTATTCAAATTTGGGGGGTTGTTCTCCCCCTAGCCAGGGGGTCGAAGCTACGGGGATGACAAAAACTGAAAAATGTTTCCCCCTCAAATCAAAAATCGACGTGTCCGAGAGTTTTTCCAGATTTTCATTCCAAATTCAATGAATCGGGGTGGACTGTTTTCTCTGGGACACCCTGTATATTTTTGTTTTGTATTATGTATGACTTCAGACAGATCCCCAAACAATGTTGTTTCTTCATGTTATCAGTATTATCTTTTTCACTTTTCTATGAATCAGAGATTTTTGACAAAATGATGGTCACACAAAAATATACAATCTTAAAACAGAACACTTTCCTTACTTAGGTACTCTTAAAGAGTATCATACCCATTTAACAAATATTTCCTCGAATAGCTCCAATATTAAACACATTTTTTAATACTGCGGTGACGACATATTAAACCGTGATAGATAACAATTGAATACGTCAAATAATACATATTTATGTATTCAACCAATATACCGAATGCCAAAAGTTATTGGGTGTATACCATAGACGTGTATACCTATATACTGACGTATATCGCGGGTTGTTTCGAGCTGGTGAAGCAAACAATATGAGAAAAGTATGCCATCTTTGTCTAGGAAAATTTTGTTTTCTAATGCGCATGCATCAATTCCACCAATAAGCATCAATTTTGCGCAGCTGATATTGCAGGGTTGCCAATAGTGTATATAAACTATGTAATTAGCTTGTATTTGAACTAAACAAATATCACTGTCAAAAATCAAAGGCAAAAATGTGATCCTGCTTGACACCACATAATTTTTGATTAATAATTGCCTGCTTAAGGGTAATTATAATTGTAATTATAATTATTATAATATAATTAAAGAAACCACTAAAAAACAAAAAGTCAAAATGATGCATAATATCCTCAACTTGATATGGCAACACCGCACAAGAAGCGCAGCCAAGATGCATGTTACAAAATGCTAACCGCCGGCCGATAAGAATCTAGCATTTAACGCATGCGCAGTTGATGACCTAGTCCTACTGCGTTTGACAAAGATAGACTTATGCGAGATCATATAAAATCTGGTTTTTTTTAAGATAAAAGTCAAAATGACATTATGTTGGCAATACAATGTAAAATTGTCAATGCTTTCAAATTTTTTATGTAGAAAAGGCTTGTGTTGCCAACATTTTTGACTTGGGGAATGATCTTTAAATAAAAAACAAACTCTATCTCTAGTTCTCTTTCTTTGCTTCAAAATCACAATAGGTAAATAGGAAAGGAGCGATATACGTCAGTATAATAATAGGTAGGTATATAGGTGTACCCACTCTAAGTTGTTATCAAACTCTCTTTTCTCAAATTAATCCCGTACAATTTTAATTATGTGCTTTCTGCTTTTATTATTTATATTACAAAAATACATCATTTAGGCTCGGTTTATTCATCTTCAGACAAACTTGCTGCTAACTATATGCAAGATAAATTTACTGTTCTATAATTCTATTGGTCGGCGAATAACTAGCCGACCAATAAGATTACAGATTGCGTCTTTATCCGTCAGATTGCATACCTGACAGTTTATCAGAAGGTGCATAAACCGGCTCTTAGCAAATATTTAATAGGGTTTCTCTTTTATCTTAAGAGGGGCGTCAGATGATAGCCAGCGCGCCATCTTCTGGGCTTTATGACATATATTAAATATTTTTTTATCACAGGTGTTCAAATTCTCTGTAAGTGATTGACTTATTTACAAGTAGATGGCGACATCTTCAATATTAATTCGTTTACACAGTAATTTACAGTGGACTAAATAATTTTATTCAGATGCAAATGAAATAATAGTATTTCACATTTTTAGCTAAGTAAAACAGTTTTTACTGGTGTTTGAAAGAAGTGACTACCCTTCCCGAACTTAGCGACATCTTTTAAAGAAGCGCTGAACACACGTTTGGTTTAAGTCTCTGCTGAAAATGACAGTCATCACCTTGTTGTTTGACAGATTTTGATTAATTTTGTGATAAAAACATTATAATTTTCGAAAATCTTGTCCTATTCATTTTTTCCAGCATTTTACTATCCGAAATTTTGGAAATTTATTGTTGGTGCGCTACTCTAGGTATTTGTCCCTTTTTCATTTAAATCCATAACTAAAATTTGCATATTGTTGTCAACAAAATTGTTAATAATTTTACTATTTAGACTGCGTATTTTGCAATCAAAAATGCTTCGACATATACTCCAATCTATTATTGTTATGAACATAACTTCATTTCACTGAAAAGTGGTCCAAATTTGGAATTGAACAGAAATTTGTGAAGGCCTGTGAATGACATTTTATTTAAACGCCCCTCTTAAAGTGATTTTACTAATATGATTTTCTTCTAGTAAAAGTGAAATGAAAATACCCATGAGAATTTAAATTTGTTCAGTTAAGTTTAAAAAGACCCGAAATGATTATTTGGTATAAAAGAGTTAAAAATCACCATATTATCTAGCTTACCAACCACTTGTTAGACCTCCATGCGACATACATGATGAAATAATTAGCAACCAACTAAACATTTTATCTCTGAAAGTGCGTGCACTAACTACTACCAACCAACTACAAAAAAAAAGGAACATTGAAGGGATCAGAAGGGGCGAGCGTGCAGCACTCATCCCCCTCCGCGTACCTCGATAATCAGTGGCACCACCAACTTATTGTCCGTGATGCGCGTCACCACCGTCTCCGTGAACGTACTTTTGGTAATAGTCTCAGTCACTCGACCGGGCCCCGTAGGAGAGGGCGGAAGTTCGATCGTATCCGGTTTTCGTATCGTTACCGTTGTAACGGACGCGGCGGCGTTGCCATTGGCCGTTTCGGGATTCATTTGTTGGTGAGAGGATTGGGTATTATTGGATAGGAAATGGGCTGGGATCATGGCTTGAAAATCTTCGTTGGTGATAGGCCTTGGCAGTACCTGTTCATCGCTATCGATAGATGACGTCGGAGTCGCTTTCTTATGATTATTATTTGTCATCGTCGGGGATGGTTGCGGTTGTTCTTTCTGCGCATTACTCGGCGGCATTTCTGCGCTGACGCTGTTTAGACGACGTGGGGCGGGCTTCGGTGCTTCGTAGTTGACGGGCGTTGCATTTGTGGAGATAGCGGTCTCATGGTTTGCTGTATGATTATGATCAATTCCATTTGTTTTTGGGAGTTCTACAGGATTAATTCTGGTTGTGGTTGTAGTTGGTGGTGTGTTTTCCGGAGTGCGTTTGTTAATGAGAGGCTCTGGAGATTCGCTCTGAAAATAAAAAGAATATTGTATTTTAATCAAAAAAAAATACTACCTTTTTGCTAAACTATGGATAGCAATTGTTTTGCTTTGATTTAAAAACAAAATCCGAAGTAGTGTCAAAAAAGTCTGTGACTATGAAACTGTGAAATATGATTCAATATGATGTAGAATATGCCAATGTCATTACCATCAATACTGACATAATACTATCTTATCACAAAGGTTCCTTTATTATTGTCTTTGGCGAAGATATTTTGTTGTTCACTCTAGCAAGAAAACTTAATTAGTTTTTCAAATCAGACCACAGATCAAAAAGTTTCAGCTATTCTAATAAGATTGCAGAACATCTCTTCGTGCAATTTTCACTATCTTTTCACAATAGATTATATATTTGAAGAACTATCGGTGAAATTCTAATGGCAAAAATACCTAACAAGAGATTGTACTTTTTTCTTTGAATTGATACAAATTATTTCCGTACAACAACCTCTTTCACGGCATTCCAGAAATCAATCTGTATAAAATCGTAATCAATTGTGATCTCTTTTGGAAAGCGAATTACTTACGGTACACAACAATAATAATTAATCCAATTTGCTGAATAACAGAAATTAAAGACGACCTCATAGAAAACGACCAATTATTAATGCAACTAGTGGACCACAACCTCCGATTCTTTTATATCGAATCCCATGAAGCCAGATCAAAATCAATTCGAAACCATTTTATTAGTATTACTTGGTGGTTTCTTCTCGGATTGATTTTTGATTGTCAAGGTCCGATTAATCTATTGGGCAACTTGGTTAGTAGAGCGTACAATCATTGCTATTATTATGTTTTTTTGTAAGAACATTGGAAGGGTTCTAACAATATTATGATTATTATTTATTATGATTTTTAAATAGATAATAAATGTGGTCCATAGAGAATACAAGTTTACTACACTAGCAATTTTTTTGGTAATTATTTTTTCACTCGTTTTCTCAATTTAATTATGTTGGAAGATATAAAAAAATAGTTGCTCAAAATTTTCAAAATATATCTTGGCAACAAAAGGGACCTGAACAAATTATGTTTATACAAACTTTTTCCATTTTTTTGAAACTCATCATCCCTTGAAGTGGGTCCTCCATGTCATTAAATACCCAGCATATTAAATGTTATGTGTCCCATGCAAGCTTTAACAAATCTAAGATCCAAAAAATCTGTACCTGCCCTAGAGATGTAAGTAAAACCGCCTAACTAACATCTCGCGTGCCAAGAACAATTAGTTTTCGTTTTGTACTAGTTGCATATATTTTTGAAACTAAATTCAAAGCGCCAACTTTTCGAAATGTTAAAATTGTAAAGTCCTTTGTTTGCCTCTCACGTTTCGGCTGGATCCCTGGGGCGTTATTTGTGAAACGCGTGACAAACGGGCACGCGAAGATATTTACTCTCCATTTCTGTCAACAGCTAAACACTTTTTATTTAATCAACAGATCAATTATCCTTTATTAGGAGTTTAGATAAGAATATCATTGAGTTGAAATTCATAAAAAAAAAAAATACCTTTTTACTAACGTCACTCTCTACTGATCTTCTATAAGCAGAAAATGGACGGTTGGCCATATAACTATTTGCACTATATAAGCCTGTATAGGGTTTCGGCAATCCGAATATTCTCGGACTTTGCTGTGGACCAGGAGATGGTGACGCACCCTGCGGAATTGGATCGTCTACTGGAATCTGCACAAAAATAAGTAATTAAAATACTTTGTCACACAAAGAAGCACGGTTATTACCTCACGCTCAACAACAAGTCTAACAAAACGTTCGAGACCAGTAAGAAGATTAACAGCCTGCTGGTGTGATGCGCCATTAAGGTCTACACCATTAATCGAGATGACCCGGTCGCCGAGTGCCAATTTACCATCTCGATCGGCTACACCACCATCTGTTATTCTTGAAACATAGATGGCGTCCGAGTCAGCCTAAATAAGAAAATTAAGCAATAATTATTACTTGTTATAAATGTTATGGATTGGGCTTACTTTGAATGGTTGGCTACCCTTGCCTCCTGCTATGCTAAAACCTAAGCCTCTAGAATCTCTGATAAGGGTAGTGTGAACCAAAACCTTTTTGGTTTCGACTGTATCGATTATGAGCGGTAATGGCGGAGGAGGAGTTACATGATAAGTTTCCGGCTTAGATCCAGTTATATCTGGTTTATTTGCAGATATCTCTGGTTTACTCTTGATCAATCTAGTTACTTCTCTTATAACCTAAAAACAAAATAATTTAGAAACGGTCCAATAAATAATCATTTCAACTAACCTCTAACACCAATGCTTGTCCAGAAGCCTTCAACACCTCCACTGCCTCATAATGTGACACATCAGTGACATCGTTTCCATTAACTTTCAATACTTTATCGGCCACCTTAAGACCGGCTAAATCAGCAGGCCCTCCTTCAGTCACCCTGGAGATGAAAATGCCTTCATCGTCACCCTTGAATGGGGTTGAGCCTCGACCACCAGCAATGGAAAGACCCAACCCGGCATTAGAACGTTCAATACGAATTTCGTATTTTTCTTCACGTACCTCGACCGATGGGTCGTTGTTAACCGAATCTCCAGCTGGAAAGGAAAAGAGATTCAATTATCAATTTTGAATAATTCAAAAAAGTTGGTGAAGTTTTTTACAATAATACATAATAATAATTGTTTCCTTGTACTTTTTCATAGCATTCCAATCATAATCAAAATATTTAAAGGTCTCAAGTCGATGACTGGCCTCAATTTATTACGCAACTACATACGATTAATATGTACCTATGTAACCTTGATTTCACTTTTGTTCACGAATTTTTGTTTTAATTTGAACAGTGAGGAAATGTTTAGGAATTAAAATTTTTTTTGGCTGATAACATAGTTGCCCTGATAGTTTTGATAAAATACCTTAAAAATTGATAACACTAAGTAGGTAAATATTATGAAAATTGAAAATAAATGACATGGAATTCAACACATTTTTAAGACAACTTGGCATAGGCGTAGGAGCTTTTCATCAGTTTCAACTTATAATTTTATATCAGGGTTGTTAGTTTGTACAGACGGGATTCTATATTTTTTCTGCACATTTGAATCGACGTAAGTTCAACCGAAAAGTGTGGCAATTTAAAAATTAGCTCTGTAAAAAAACATCTATCAAATTCCTTTGGAAAAAAAAATTGTCCTCTTGCCATATCCATATTAGGCTTAAGTGGGGCATTGTTGAAATATAACGCACGTCCTTATAGTCATTATAAATTTTACCGATCAACGGTGTAATTGCAGGTATAAACATTAGATGCTTTCTAAAGCATGCATAATGAATCACAATTTAAATAATTTTCAACCTTAAAAAACAATTATCTTGCCAACGTGCACGAGACAAATGAATTGTACACTGCGCCAGCCGGCCGGCGGCAGCGGTTCTACTGAGGAGGTCAAGTTCTTCTCGTCTTTTGGTACTTCTCTTTAATGATATATAACGCTAATTATATTTTCTCACTAGGATGTACCAACAAAATATTTCCGGTATATACAAAAATGCAATTAAAAGCCATATAGGTACTGCTTTCATATATAAAAGCAACATTTCTTTTTTGGTAACACGATATAATCTACTTTAGATTCTCCATTTTTAAATTCCTTCTACCAGGTATGTTTGAATGCAGAATGAAATATTTCAATTTCTGCCTAGATCTTGAGGATTTTGAATTAAACCAAGAATTTAATTTTATTTTTGAATCAGAACATTTTGCTATTTTAAATGTAAGGGTTTGTACAACTAGAGTACAGGATATTACAAATTATGCACCAATCAGATTTTAATAAGTTCACATTCACATTGACGAGCTTGTGAACTCTGTGGAAACATACTAGTATGCACCCAAGGCCAGAACTAATTAAATTATAGAGATAACATGACATCCAGGAGAAGTCCTGCATGGAATGGATGTTACAAAATATAATAACTGTTTAAAAGGAATAGTCCAAGAGCCCAGAGCCGCCAGACACAACTTATTTTCTAAAGGACAGAATATGTGGGATTGTGTAGCACTTATATGTACTATGAACGTATTGTTTGCCCAGCGGATCTGAGTCTACGGAAGGAATTCGGACGTAAATGTGCCATGTTGTCACGTTTAATTATTAAAAAGCGAAAATACCAGGCATGAAGTATAGTTCATTTGAAAATCCATTTTTTAATAACAAAATATAGATACCAATGAAACGCTAAATATTTCAACGTGGTTGTTAGATCTATTCTTACTCTAATAACTGATTTCTTCAATTTTGTCCATTGTAAAAAATAAACATTTTCTAAAGATACCATCAGTTTTTGACAATTTGGCAAGCATCCGGCCTGGATGAACCTGATTGGTGGAGTTTTTGGCAGGATGGCCGTTGCCACGGGGAACCATGTCGTTGTCAATGGGCTAACGTCACCTTACATCTCGCTATTGGCCAGGGCTTCCGTCATTGTATCCTCCCATCTTGGAATATCGATTTATATTGAAATATCCAGTGGCGGGGGTTTGGTCATTTTCGATTTTCGTGTAGGAGTTGCAATACGATAACACTTCCAAAAAATTCCGCACGTAGCTGGGTATTTTATGAATGAAATCAGCCATTTTTTTTTACAACTGCATTCCCCTTACCGTTGCCCCGTAGACACAGAGTCGCTGGGCAGACATTATGTATACCCGCTAAGTTGGGTAGACGGCCAATTTACCGACACCAGGTGCGAAAGCTTAAGAAGTACTTTAAATTTTTTTCTAACGCTTGATTTTTATACATGTTATTGGGGAGACTATTTCATAACTAATGTTTGCCCAGCGAGTCTGTGTCTACGGGGCAGCAGTGAGGGGAATGCAGTTGTAAAAAAAAATGGCTGATTTCATTCATAAAATACCCAGCTGCGTGCGTAACTTTTTGGAAGTGTTATCTTATTGCAACTCGCACACGAAAATCAATAATAACCAAACTCCCGCCACTGGAAATTTCAATATAAATCAATATTCCAAGATGGGAGGAAACAATGACGGGAGCCCTAGCCAATAGCGAGACGTAAGGTGACGTTAACCCATTGACAACGGCATGGTTCCCCGTGGCAACGGCAATAATGCCAAAAACTCCACCAATCATGGTCATCCAGGCCGGAAGCTTGCCAAATTGACAAAAGCTGATGGAATCTTATGAAAATGTCTACCTTTTACAATAGACCAAATTGAAGAAATCAGGTATTTAAATAAGAATAGATCGAACAACAACGTTAAAATATTTAACGTTTTATTATTGTTATCTATATTGAACTATATATCATACCTAGTATTTTCGCTTTTTTATAATTAAACGTGACAACACCGTACATTTACGTCCGAATTCCTTCCGTAGACTCAGAACCGCTGGGCAAACAATACGTGTGCTCAGCCAGACCAATCGCACCGGCCAAACATCCCCCCAGACGCAATAATAGTTTTTCCGTGTGTGTGAGCGCGAGGGTACTATGCATGCGTTTGAGAGTGAGCGAGATATCTATTTCCCCCTCTTAAACTTACAGTCTACTCCAGGCTAGAGTAGAAATGGGATTCGGTTTTTCCCATAATGGGAAAAACCGTTATTTACAAATAACAGTCAACTGGCCATCTACCCAACTTAGCGAGTATACATACGTTCATAGTACCTATAAGTGGTACTCAATCCCACATATTCTGTCCTTCAGAAAATAAGTTGTGTCTGGCGGCTCTGGGCTCTTGGACCAGAAGGACATGAAATGAAGATACAAACAAGTTGGGTTAATTTTTTAACTAACTTTCAGAAAGACAAGAAAAGCTGTCTTTGGGCTTTTTCTTTGAAATGATCTTTTTTCCCACCATAAGTGATTAGTGCGTTTTATAAAGTCAATAAGTACATAGTTCTTGTTAATAAAGCGGGTTTCAGTGGACCCGCAAAATCCGTGAGAGTACTTTAAAAAATAACTTAGCTAAACTGGAGGAAAAATAGAAAGTAGGTGGTGTTTCCAATTCCCGTAAAATGGAATATTACAAGGGGTATACCACCATCCCAGAATTTGTGCAAACAATTCCTCAAAGGAGAATTTTTTACGCATAATTTCTCAAAATTCCTTCAAATTCCTCCAAATGGACCCCGCACACTTCTTATGGGATTTTGGTTGAACGCGGAATTTAACCAAATTTTGGTATGTTGTATATTTCGACCTGCAGAGTAAAAGTTTTCATGGGTACAAACCGATCCTATGACTAGTTTCGGATATACAGGGGGTTTTCTAATACTACCTTAGGCAACCTAAGTACCTATATAAAGCGTACATAAAGCAAAAAAACTTGCATGTATTGCTTTAAAAGTTGTTTATTTCATCTTTCCTTAACTAAAAATGTTTAGTAGGTGTTCGTAACTCTTCCTTTATATACAAGGGGCGCTCAAAAACTATGGCTATTACTAAACTAAATGAGTTAATGACCAAAAATGCTCAAAAGTGTGAAAAATTGTGTACTTGTAGGTACTCAGGTACCTACGTTTTGTGATAAAAGTGACTTTCTATCTCAATGAATTCCAGTTCTCGACGCTTGTGCTAAAAACTTTTTGCCTCATGATCCCTTGGCCTAGGTTTTAAGTGTTTATTTATTAGGTATACATACACTTGGTGATTTATTTGAAAAATCTAAACAGCCATGGAAAGAAAAGCAATGAAAATTGTTTTTTCATATGTCATATTTCCCTTGGTAACCATGGAAACCAAAACAGTGACCCTGTCAATAAAGCGAATTGTCTTTTTTGTCACCTTTCTTGTGAAAATGGCAATTCGGGAAAGGTAATGTGCTACGTGTGCAAAGAAGGACTAAAGTAAGAGTAAATCGCACTGTTTTATTACTGAAAGATGCCGAAGTTTGCAGATTGGCTGTAAAAAGCGTCGAAACGAGTTAGGATTTGAGGATGAAAATCTTATTATTGAGAACTCAAGGTGAATTTTGACATTGAAAACTTTGAAACATAAACAATAACGCTTGGCCCTGATTGGTCGGAAAATGAGGTGTTTCTGCAGGTTGTAATCAGTTTTACAATGCATGAGGTGCAAATGGCATCTTGCGACCAATAAGCAGCATTGTTTATGTTTCAAAGTTGACAGTGTCAAGTCAAAATCTATCTTGGGAAAAAATACAGTAGGTATATAGTTTGTCATACTTCTATTTGTGTTTGTTTTAAAAACAAACAAAGGCCCACCAAACAAGTACTTTTCAAAATACCCTCGTACATTCACATATATAGGCACCTAACTAAAAATGCACCTTTCTGTAAAAGGTCTAAACTTAATCAACAGTTTTTAAAGCTACCTACCACCATAAACGCAAAAAGCATGAAAATTCAGTATTTTCATGTTGCCTGAGGTAGTATTAGAAAAACCCCCGTATATCCGAAACTAGTCATAGGATCGGTTTGTACCCATGAGAACTTTTACTCAGGAGGTCAAAATATGCAACATACCAAAATTTGGTTAAATTGCGTTCAACCAAAATCCCATAAGAAGTGTGCGGGGTCCTTTCCCACAAATTCCTCCAGATACCCCATCA